CCCCCCCTCCCTCATTCCAGTTGATCTTGCCAGAAGTACAATGCCTTTTCGACAGCCTGTGATTTAAAAAAGGAAACGGCAAAAACAGTCTTTCTTTTGTAAACTACTAATTCAATCAATCTCCAATGTAATATCGTAATAAATGTTTGAATTCCACCCTCTGTGACAGCCATGGCACTCTCTTTAGTTGCAATGGAGAAATGTGTAGCAATGAGGGGACAGGAAGTGGTATTTGCAGAATTAGCAGGTAAAAAAAACCCTAAAAAGTCACTTCCATGCATACAATGAAAATCTTCGTTTGGCTGAGGGGTCGTATGCATAGGGGTTTTCTTTATTTTTTTTCTTTATTATGGTCAGTATTCTTCTACCCATCTATGAAGTGGAGCGCTGGTCCCCTTTACACAACATTAGCATGGTTACAGGCAGTCCCCGGGTTACGGACAATCCGTACTTACGAACGGGGTCCAGAGTACTCCTAAATGTACCGGCAGCCGCCGGTACATTTAGGAGACCTGTACCTGCAGCTGCATGTGTCCTTTCAAATCCCCGCTGCTCTCCGCGCCTGTGTTGGCTGAGGCAGCGGGGACAGAGACCGCTGCATTCCTCCGATGCCCCACGTACCTCCGCTGATGTGCCGTCTTCCTCTTCAGTCGTTCCGTCGGCTTCCCCAGTGCGGACGATCCTCCGGTCTCCAGGTGCGTCCGCGGCTCCTCTGCCCCGCCCCCCTGCTTACACTTCATTGCAGGCTGGGAGCCATACCCAGCCTGCTATTGGATAGTGTAAAATGCAATAGCCAATAGCAAGCTGGCTATTGCTCCCGCCCAATGTCTGCTGTCAATCAGCATGGGGGGACCTGATAGAGAACTTTCTGCTTCAGGCCCCTCTGCTGATTGGCAGTGGGCAGATGCAATAGCCAGCCTGCTATTGGCTATTGCAATTTGAAATATCCACTAGTAGGCTGCATGACCGGACTATAGCCTTGCAATTTATGTTAAAAAAGTTTGGTGACAGATAGAGCTTTCTTTTGGAGGTATATAATCACCACGGGGGTTGTTGTTTTTTTTTACTATATAATTTAAAAAAGTACCATAAATGTAAAAAAAAAAAAAGTTTCCCAACGTTATGTTATCAAACATTTATTCTTAGCCATATTTTTAGTAAAACATAAAAGTCGGGGTCACGTCGGGTAAATAGACACCAAACATGTCAAGCCTTAAAATTGCGTGCGCCCACAAAAAACGCCCATAGGCGACGATTAAAACACTTTTACTGTTCATCAGTTTAGTGTTATCAGTGATTAAAGGAGAACTATGGGGTCAGGGCTTTTCCCCATAGTTTTCCTTAGGGTAACGGGAGGACGCTAATTTGACACAAATTAGCGTCCTCCCGTCACCCTAGGCTCAGTATACCGCGATATAGCTCGCGGTATACTGAGACGCCGCAGCTGAAGCGGATCCTGACAATTGTGTAGAGGCAGAGCCAGCTGTACCTGCCCCCTCCCCCGTCCGTTCCGCCAGTCAGCGCTAGAGGATTGGAGTGGGGAGGGGGGAATCCAGCGATTCCCCCCTCCCAGGATCGAGAAGTGAGCGAACGCCGGTATGTGTTCACTTCCCGATCTACTGAGCCGACCTGTGACAGTCTCATTGTCCCAGGTCGGCTAGAACTATGAGGTGAGTGAAAAGCACTCGCCTCATAGTTGTCCTTTAGGCTGGGTTCCCAACTAGGCGTTCGAAATATGCGTGTATGACGTGCGTTTTACGGTGCATGTTTTAACCGCGATTTGCAGCCCACAAAACGCGCGTCAAACGCCCCAAAGAAGCTCCTGTACTTCTTTGGGCATAGGGCGTTTTTCAGCACGTTCCGACATGCTGAAATACGCCCAAGTGAGAACCATACCCATAGGAAATAATGGGATTTCACTTGCAGGGCGTTTTACAGCGCGTCGATCAGCGCTGTAAAATGCCCAGGTGTGAACCCGGCCTTAATGGCTCTAAAATTATTGCTCTCGCTGCGTTTGCGGCGATATGCAACATGTGCTGCACGTAGGCGCACCTGACGCATATATGCGTATGTATGTGGGGGGCGCGGACTTAAAAAATGTAAATGTTACAAAAATAAATGCTATGCTTCATTTTTTTTATCAATCTTTCATTTTTGTATTACTTTTTTTTTTAACATACAACTTTATTGCTATTACATGGGGGGCTAAGAAGCCCCCTATGGGATAGCCAATTTACATGACAGGTCCTCTTTATGGAGACATCAGGGGTCTCCAAGACCCCTAATGTCACCTAGGGACCTCCAGAGAAGCTGATAAAGCGGAGATCGGCTTCATCAGCTTCTCTAGCTGGAGAGTGACACTGAATGCAGGAAGTGATGTTATATACATCACTTCCTGCATTCCGGGACTGAGAGGAGATCAAAGGGAGTTTGTGTACTGAACTCCCTTTGATCTCCTGTCACAGAGCTGTGCCGGTCCCGGCCGCATCGGGCACAGCGGATCTCGGGACCGGCAACGGCAGTGACAGCTTCTGATACAGGCGATCGAGCGTCTCTCGAGACGCTCGATCGCTTGACTGTAAAGCTCCCGGCCGGCCGTGTAATTACAACGGCCGGCCCGGAAGCTGCTAGTCGGGCTCCACCGTCCTCTCGTCACAGACAAGTGGATTTTTCGAGCCCTGTTCTGAACAACAGGAACAGACAGCAAAAGAACCGTGACCCTTCCCTATGCTATCCAAAACTAAAAAAAACATTTTGGCTGGAGTTACACTTAAAAAAATGTACCTGTTCCGACTTGCATACAAATTCAACTTAAGTACAAACCTAAAGTCCCTATCTTGTATGTAACCCGGGGACTGCCTGTACTTTGAAGCAATGCTGATAACACATTAGATTTTCCCTTTAAAAGACTTGCCTACATATTTTTCAGGTATGGCTTTGTGGAGTTTGAAGACATGCGTGATGCTGAAGATGCAGTTTATGACATGAATGGAAGGGACCTATGTGGTGAACGGGTCATTGTGGAACATGCACGGGCTCCAAGAAGAGAAGCACGCAGTAAGTTTAGCTTTTGTACATTTGTGCTTTTTCTCAGGCTCAGTTGGACCTGTCATCTACACACCACCACACTTTAGCCCATAACAGGAAGGGTTTTGCTAAACAGTAGTTTTGTAGACTACATTGCACCTCTGTTGGTCCTAAGCTTTTAGTTGTGAGACTCCCCATTCAGTGGCACACCTGCTCACTTGGTGTCTGAATCTTTACTGGCAATTCCAGCATGGACCATATTGCCTATTGGCTATAAATTGCCTCACCCTTTTATATGAATTGGCTGCCACAGGCCTGTGATTTAATGCTTGTAAATATTTTATAGTTCTTAGAGGCGCAATGATCAGTTCATGAATTCTACATTCTAATAAATACTTAGTGAGCCTGTTGAGGGAAAAGGAAGAGTTTATACTCACCTGGTCTGCCACTTGTTTGTTTAATTTTGTAACGCCCTATGTCCTGTAGTAGAAGGGATCAGTGGAAGGAACTACAGGCCACTGCTCTGCAGTAGATCAGGGCCCTGGACCAGGCACATAAAAACTTTATTCTCTTACAGAAGATCCTTGATGGTCGCTTTTAAAATGGTCAAGAAGGCAAAATCATGTGGTTCCAACATGGTGCAGTTATGTTGTCTATTCAGACATACATTTACAGCCGTATGTGTGCAAGTAGCATTCCTTTACATTCATTATGCCATGTTTTGTTACATGTATATAATGGGTGAAACACAACTCTAAACAACATTGTCAAAATAGAGCGAGATACTAAACCAAATGTACCAGAAGATTTTGGGGGTGGATATTATTGACCTCCTCCTGTGAAAATGCTAGTCTGCATTCATGTTTAGGTCAGTGACCGAGAGCATGGAATCCAGGGACTGCTAAAGAACTAGTATTCTTAGGAGAGTAGCCATAGCCAAATATTGTCTCACACAAAATGAATGATACCTTGATTTTTTTTTTTTTTTAGGCAATGGGCTTGATAACTTATACCTAATACCCTAAGTTGGTTACAATTTATTTTATTCCAATGCTGCTCCTTACTATGTCTCCCTATTCTTGGATATAAGATCATTCCTGATGGTAACAATCGTATTCTTTTAGTATACCAAAATATTGACAAACAACTTTCTTAATGTAGTTTTATTTTGATGTTTGCATGTCCTTAAATGTTATGGTTTTTTTTTTTTGTTTTTTTTTCCGCATCATTATTGTTGTGCTAAATAAGATCCCCTGTACTTTTTAAAATGGCTCTGAATACTCTAGGAACCTCTGAGTTAGTCATTCAGTGGCCATTTTATTAAGCTGCCATGGGGTGATAATGCATAAGCTAGTGTGAGGCCGACAAGATGTCTGTCTCCAGGTAATTTAATTGTGCAGCCTGTCCCTTCCTCCTCCTCTTTCTTCTTCTTGTGAGATCCGAGGAGGAGCCGCTGGGGGGGCACATACGTGGGTGAGCGCGTTGGGTTTACCAGTCAGCGGGGGGCCCAAGGCAGCCGTCCGACGCAGGGCATGCAGAGGGAGCGTGGGTGGCTGAGGGCTCTCCATTGTTTCAAGGTAAGTGACTGGTGGGGCGCATGGGGTTATTTGTAGATAGATTTAAAATGGGATACTGTTTAGGAATAGTTTGTTCAATAATTGTATCTGTTGTGAAAATTAAAGGACTGTAATGTAGTTGGGGAGGTGGGTATCCTTCTCTCTACTAGATGGGTGGCTAGCTAGCTCTGGCTATTTAAACACTTGGAGAATTATTTTGATAGTGCCCTGGAAGGCATCATTTTTTTCATGTATAAAAGGTAGCCCTAGGTAGTGTATATTGCTGTAAACTAGTTTTTATGAAAAAGCTTTTGGGCATCCACTGAATTGTTTGATTGTTTGTGGATCCAGGTGGCTATGGATACCGCAAAAGTGGCAATGAGAAGTTTGGCCCACCAGTTCGAACAATATACCGACTGAGGGTAGAGAACCTTTCCACCCGATGCAGTTGGCAGGACCTTAAGGTAAGATATTTTCAGCAATGTTTGCCTTTAATGCAAAGAGAATTTAAGTGGTGATGTAGCCAAGATTTGTATTTTTTTGCAGCGTGTCAGTTTGTTTTATCATCTTTGCTTTGTGTTTATGTTTTTTTTTTTTTTTACATTGCACCAATTTTGTATCTGGATACCTCTACTCCATTACATTTCTTGTCTTTGCTCTGTTTTCTGTAGGATTTCATGCGCCAGGCTGGCGAAGTTACTTATGCAGATGCACATCAGCGTCGTCCTAATGAAGGAATTATTGAGTTCCGTTCATATTCGGACATGAAGCGGGCGCTAGATAAACTGGACGGTTCACAGGTTAACGGGAGGAGAATACGTCTGGTGGAAGATAGAGCTGGATCCAGATACTCTTCTTCACGTAGTCGGTCCAGGTACGTTTTCTAGTGCCTTAAGTTTAATGGTCTGCTTTTCAAAGTGGTCTGATTTCCACTTTTGCAGTCAAATGTGGGAAAACTCCACTATGTTTGTGTTCCTACTCATCCAGTATATCTAAAATCATTTTTTTTTTAAATATTTCTTACCTTATTAGATGTGCCTTTGTATCAGGCCTTTGCAAGCTTTTCACTTCTCTATTTCAAAGTAACAGGAAACTCTGTCTCCATATAAAGACAATCTGAGCTTCCCATCATTCGCATACAATGCTTCTAGATCTTTGTTAGGACAGACATTGTTCAAATCTAGTTCACAACAGATAGAGATCTGCCAGCACAGTACAGACAGCGTTAATTATGTTAACATTAACCTACCCATGCCCCTTGCATTCCTGAGGAAAATTCACTACAGAGAAGAACATTTCTTTCAGAATAGAGCATGTATTGTGCAAGCAGCCATTTATTTTTTTAAATGTGTGCTATGTGAACGAGGATAAGTAACTAATATAAAATAGGTGCTATCCTAATTTAGCTGTAAAGTGGACGTACATTTTAATGTGTATCTAAACCCAAGAAAAAACATTTAATATATTGTAGCAGTGGCTGTAATAATTGTATTTTTTTCAGGCAATAGTATATTAACATTGTCTCCTTAGGCTCCTCTCCTGGTTTGGACTCTCAATTAGACCATGGAACTGTCTTAGCACAGCAGACCAAAAAAAAAAAAAGGGAGTTCAGA